GGAAATGTTAAATATGAAAAATATGCAATACAACAGAGTGCTCCATCCCTAATTTACAAATGTAAATTACACTGTAAGAAAACACACTTGCTCTCATGAGCATCACATCGTGTCCTCCTGTGTGGGCCCTCTTCTCTCTCTTCCATACCATCTAGCTTCTGAACACAAAAGGATATAAAGTGAAAAGGAAAACAGAAAGCACCGTGGCAGGGGCCAGCATTTCGAAGCAGAGACCCTCTTTAGTCACTGACTTCATAACAATAGTCCCCTTACAAGAGTTTTCAAATTCATGTCGCTCAGTTTGAGATTTCAGATAATGCCTATTAATTTAAAGTATCTTCTTCCCAAAGAGAAAGTTAAATTGCATTTTGCCAAATAGCACTATAAAAATGAATTCTGTACAATACTGTAATTTCAATGTTCATTTGATGGCTTATAGAAGTGCTTTGCTCATCTGGCTACAATAAAATTTTCCAGTGAATAATAATGCAAAGGTCACACTTCAAAAAAATCATTGTTTTAAAAAAACTTAAGGTTCGACTTCAGATTACAAAATTACAAAACCAAGATTTTGCTGAAACACCTATCTCCCAAAGTACATTTAAAACATGAGTCAATATGATTTGAAAATTGTTGTCCAGATTACCTCTGCAGTGAAAAGCAAAGCAATGTGAAATGGAATTTTACCCAACCTTCTCAGCTAGCCTGTCATTTTTACTTGTGTTCCTTTGTCACACAGTGCTTTATTTTTTTTCTACTCCTCAAGTGAAGTGAAAAAATTTGCCAATGTAGCCATTTCCTGGGCTTCCTCGAAGACTCAGTTTAATACTGCAAAACATTTACAGGTTTATTCATCAAACTGGAATGAAATGTTCACATGACCTTCTGGCCAGAGGTTATGTCCTTTGAGTCCCAGGAAGGTTCAAGCACTCTACATAGTTTGTGAGATGCTATGGTCAATCAGTTAAATAAAGTAGCTGATATAATACTTCTATTAATACAATATCTGCCCTAGATAATATTTAAGGTAGACAAATTTCATATCTCAAGATGAAACTAAAGTTTGGACATTCAAAAAGAACTAGATTAACATGGAGAAATCCTTGATTCTTAAACTATATCAGTATATTACACAATGTAATTTATTTTTATTTTTTAACACACACAAAGAGGTTAACTCAAAACAGTCATAGCTGAATATCAAAATGTTTCTCACACTCAATGCTATTAACAAGAGGCTATAAAGAAACAAGCCATGCATTTTAAAAACGAGAAACTCTGGCCTGGGCAATGTGGTAAGCCCTCGTTTTTACAATACATCAAAAATATCAGCCAGGTGTGGTGGTGCGTGACTTTTGTACTGGCTACATGGAAGGCTGAGGCAGAGGGATCACCTGAGTCCAGCAGGTGGAGACTATGTTGGCCGGGATTGTGCTTTTGCACTCCAGCCTGGAAAACAGAGTGAGACCCCGACTTAAAAAAGAAAAGAAAAAAAGAGAAAGAAACTCAGCGTATGAAAGGCATAGGAAGGGCAAAGCACAGATCAATAAACTTAAAATTAAAAAAAAAAAAAGGAAGCCCAGAGCAGAGATACAATGTAAGGTTTAAGTAAAAATTGACAGCTTCTTTTCTAGCTATAGTTGCCTTTACTTTCTTTCTAAGGTAATGGGAACTAATGTTTTTAGAAGACAGGCAAAAGAAGCATGCAGGTGGTAACAACCAGAAAGATTTGGTAGAGGTGGAGAATGTAGAGACAGAAGCACCACGTTCTTAGCAAAGACAGTTCCTATGATCACCCCTTTTCCTTGAAAAGAAGTGTTCTAATTTTATAGAGAATTGCCCTGTTGAGTCTAGGGAATTATCAAAGTTTGTATCTTCCAACTAGGAGAGACACCTTCCTGGCAAGGTTCTACTTCCTTTCATGGCATGGGAATATCTCCAACATATATAAATCGAGCAAGTGCATATTGTAATGATGTTCTGCCTCAATCATGGCGATGACAAGGTCTCCATTTCCCATCAGGATATGGTAGAAAAGATGAAAATTCCTCCTGCTGCCCTGAAATGAGTTCTGCCTAATGCAGAAAGTAAGAAATTAACATTACCTCATAGTGGAAGGTTTTGCCTGAATCTGGCTATGCATTGGGCCCAATTAACTTTAGGATATACTCATACCAAGGACCTGCTTAAATTATCAAATTTGGTTAAAGGGCTCTTTTGTATGTGTGATTACAGATATCTAAGACAGATGTAATCTAACTGTAATAAAGGGATATGGTACTGAGTAGGAAACAGGGCTCCAATCTTTCAAAATTTTGTATCTTTTTCCCTGAAAAGGCAGATGAAATCCTCAAATCTAGTGGTCAAGTGGATCTACGTGAGCTAATCTTCGTGTGGTTTAAGCCCATCTGCTTCAGTGAAACCACTGAACTAAATAATTCCAGTTTCTATCTCCAGTGAGGTAGCGAAATACAGTCCCATAAACCAGGATGCTTCACTGGTATAGGTACTGAAGCATTATTTTTACAGTTTTAGGGCTGTATGAACCTTACTGATACTACCTAGGGCAAGCACCTCTCACTCCCCACTCCCTAGCAAGTGAATATAAATTTAGATTAGGCCAAAAAGATGGCAACCAGGCTTTCTCTTAAGGGGCGTATGTACCACCACAAGCAGTCATGATCAATGAAATGTAATTTCCATGAACTGCAGTCATCTTGCTTTAATGGAGGTAGTATGGAGTTACGGAGATAAAGTGGGGCCTACTGGGTACCATTTTTCTAAGACTGCAAGTTGGGGCAAAGAGGACACAAAAGGCAGTCCTGTGGATTTGTATCAGCTTCTAGTCAGGCACTAAGACAAGGCTTAAGTTACACTACTGTTGCCAGGCCACGGGTAGCAAACAAATCACCCATGTCATGTCCGCGGAAGCCAAAACATCAGAGCAAAATCTAGACTGAGAAAAGGTGAGCAAGGGTTAAGAGGCACATGATGGGGTGGTTCAGAGTCTGTGAAGGCAACCCTCCAGAAACAAGGAGCACTCACCAGTGGTTCTGAAAACCTGGCAGCAGAAACTGGAAGTCAGTGAGTCAGCAAATGTAAGATAGCTTTGAGCAATGACTAAGGAGGTCGGTGGTCCCACTTCAGCAGTCCTGCCTCAATCCTGCCCTCCCGCCACCTCCATGGAGGCCCATCCTCTACTAGCAATAGTACCAACACTTACTCATAAAGGTGTCTATAGACAGGTCAAGCAGGATGCAAGGAAGCACACACAGCCTTATATAGCATCCAACCACATCACTTGATTTAGACAAGAGGAAATTTTAGCACCGTCTCCATCACTATGCTACAGTTATTTTGTATTGATTCTGTTGTCCCATAACGTTCATAGAAGGACAATAAATGAAACTCTTATACCTTCATGATTATCCTATTATATGATGCTACTCATGTAGCTATATGACTATTTGTAATGGTACCATAAGAATTCCACAAATACATTTCCACAGTTGTGCACCTCCCTCCAAAAAATCTATCAGTATTTCTGAATACTTGATTCTAAAAAAAAAAAAAAAAAAATCAAAACATATATGAAATTGTCAGAATACATGAGCAAACTCTTCTTAAATGCTGCAGGACTGAGAGGAAGCTTTAGTCTAAGTGTTGGCTTTGCTATTAACAAGCTGCAAAGTGCTAGATAAAACACTAAAAATTCTCTGGAATGCAATTTTATCTTTGGTAAAATGAGGAAGCTGAAATTCATGGTCTCCAAGCAAGAACTCAGCTCTAAAAATGTTCAATTTCAATGGACTTTTGATAATCTCAATGACACATAGATGTTAAATTCAAAACTGCTATAATTAAGGACGTGATGTTTATATCTGAAGAAAATATAACACTGAAAATAAATGTAACAGGCATTTTTACAAGAATCTGTTCCAATACTTCTAATGTAGTTCTCCAAAATAATTTACTAAAGGGACACATCCAGTAAAAGTGTACCGAGAACAATGTTCACATTTCTTACCACTAGGCCTTTAAATTCTAGAAGTGAAGAACCCTAAAATGCAAGTTACAGGGGGAAGGAGGGGACACATCATGTTCATACTGTTCCAGCTCTCAAGTTTAAAAATAAAAGGCTTAGGCTCTGGTTGTTTCTTTCACCCTCTGTGAAACAATACTAGGCATTCTGAATCTCCATCTCTCTCCAGTCTTCCCAACACAAGAGCAAACCTGTGTGTACACACACACACACACACACACACACACACACACACACACACACACACACACACACAGTTATAATATTTTCTGTAGCTCAAGTCTTTGTTCAGCACTAAAGTAGGTTTAAGGTACAACAAATTCATGAATTCTTCACAGAAAATCTTAAACAAAAAAAAGGTGAATGATTACTGCAAAGTCTGCCTATTTGGTTTTTAACCTTTAGGGTAAAAAATAAATAAAATAAAACTATATAGTATTTTGTTAAAGGATGTTAAGAAAATTTCCCTTCATTTAACAGGATCCCCAAATCAGAATTACATGCAAATCAAATTAAATTCAGGCACAGTGTCTCAAATAACACGTTTAAATATTCATATCTGGGTCTCAAAAATGACTACACCACTGTGAACTGTGTGATTTTTCCTGGGAAAAGAAATACTATACACCTGGTTCCTTTCACCCTAGGTTTCCAATTTATGATTTACCTAAAAAAAAAGAAACTAATTCAATACACATTATTTGCCAAAAGATGACAATATTATTCAATATTAAGTCTGCCTGATTGAGAAATAGCTTAAAACACGTTTGGAAATGGGTAAAAATTCACATTTGGCTGGAGAATTAAACATTTGTTACCATTTAACTGGCAAGAGGAAAGAAATGGAATTCTGAGTAACCCTTATTACTTCAAAGAATATACAAGAAAATCCTTTCACAACAAATCCCGTCCCTGATACAGTTAAATGCAAATACTCTTTTCCCTCTTACTCCAGAAAGCTCCTGCATACACAGCTGATACGCCACCTACTGCAAAGCCGAGCTGACAGGCAGGCGATGCTGCCAGCATTTCCATTCCATCACCAGGCTGGGCTGAATAAAAGCGTGTTTGTGTGGTAGTATTCTCTTTTAAAAATCTCAAAGCCAAGAAGAACAAGCAGAAGTAGCATCTTCAAGCCATGGAGCGTAAAATAAACAGAAGAGAAAAAGAAAAGGAGTACGAAGGGAAACACAACAGCCTCGAAGGTACTAACCAAGGAAAGAACTGCAAATCCACACTGATGACCCTCAACGTTGGTGGATATTTATACATTACTCAAAAACAGACACTGACCAAGTATCCAGACACTTTCCTTGAAGGTATAGTAAATGGAAAAATCCTCTGCCCGTTTGATGCTGATGGTCATTATTTCATAGACAGGGATGGGCTCCTCTTCAGACATGTCCTAAACTTCCTACGAAATGGAGAACTTCTACTGCCTGAAGGGTTTCGAGAAAACCAACTTCTTGCACAAGAAGCAGAATTCTTTCAGCTCAAGGGACTGGCAGAGGAAGTGAAATCCAGGTGGGAAAAAGAACAGCTAACACCCAGAGAGACTACTTTCTTGGAAATAACAGATAACCACGATCGCTCACAAGGACTAAGAATCTTCTGTAATGCACCAGACTTCATATCAAAAATAAAATCTCGCATTGTCCTGGTGTCCAAAAGCAGGCTGGATGGATTTCCAGAGGAGTTTTCAATATCATCAAATATCATTCAATTTAAGTACTTCATAAAGTCTGAAAATGGCACTCGACTTGTCTTAAAGGAAGATAACACCTTTGTCTGTACCTTGGAAACTCTTAAGTTTGAGGCTATAATGATGGCTTTAAAGTGTGGCTTTAGACTGCTGACCAGCCTGGACTGTTCCAAAGGGTCAATTGTTCACAGCGATGCACTTCATTTTATCAAGTAATTACCTGTGTCGTGAACAAAGGCAACAAGCATGCAGCCAGCAAGCTTCGGAAAACCACAGCATCAAAGGCATCCCAAATAACGTGCCCAGCTAGCTCTGTTCTACAGAGCCCTGCTGCTAATCAATTACTGTGAGCTAACGGTATGTAAATTCTATCGCTAAAGATGTCCTTCCTCTGAGGTGTTCTTGCTGATCAGACTCTTTCACCTAAAATGAAAATAGTAATCTTCTATATACTATAAATAAAGACTGAATGCTTTTACTATTTGTTTATTTTTCCTTAAGCTGTCTTTCAATCAGAATGTCTTGGGTATGCACAAAAAACAAGCATGTACATTATCTATCGTTCATTTAAGTACATGGTAATAAAATATTTTAAGGGGCTATACGACTTTAAATCCTTTCTACTTATGGCAAAAATCTATAAAGAAACTGAACTGGTAAAATTAACCACTTGGAGCAAAATAGATATGCAGATCTACTTAAAATAGAGCTACAGTGAAACAAAATGAGATTGTAAAAAGGTATTAAAGCTACTGACTTGATTTTTCATAGCAAGCACCAAAAGCTTATTCACGGTTCCTGTATTTCATACTAGAATTATACCTGAATTGATATTCTGCTGAAAATTCCTAGAAAACTGCTTGATGACAATAAAAATAAATAAAAGCACTGCTAGCTTCTTTGTTTTATTAATAATTATAATAAAAAGTTACATGTTCATTTTAACAACAGACTGTACCACTTGATGATTTCTTACAATATTATGCATTGATGTAGTCAACTGGCAGCTTACAGTAATTGGTCTTACAAGTGACAAAAATCAGCAAATTCATTTCTTTGCAGGCTGAGCCCCCACAAAGCATGGATAACTTAATCTCAATAGAGTACATGGCATCAGAATAAAGCAGCTCAAATTCAGAATCACCCGAAATACCTGTTCATTTTTCAAAAATATTAAATGAACATCACTAAACATTATTTTTGTGGAAGGCTTTAGTGATTCAATATCTATTTGATGCTAAATCTCAATTCACTGAGTCAACACTTCTTTACTTCATGCTAAACAAGAAATTATTTTTAAAAATTAAGTTTTACAGATGACTGTTTCAATAAAATAATCTTCAACCTTAACTTTAAATGTGAGTGCATTTCCCCCCAACAAAGAACAGCTAAATCATTTCTGTCACTTATTCTTTGACGTGTAAGAGCAAAGTAAAATATTTAAGTTTGCTCCTTTAAAATTAAACCATGAAAACTGGTAAGTAAATCTTAATTTTAATAAACTACAACAAAAGACTTTTGAAAATCTCATTACATTATTAAGTTTGCATATATGCCAAAAGTTTGATTACTCATAAAAACTAAGAATAAACGAGTAAAGTTAATATTCATTCCCAGGACTATTAACTGACTTCCAAGTTTCAACATCTAAGGTAATATAAAAGTTGGCTGTATATACTAAAAGAAATATTTTTAAAATCTATTATACAAAAACGTCCTTTAAAAAAACCACATTAAGAAACCAACAAACTCCACATCAGCTACACAATCTTTTATTTAGATTAAGAAAAAAATACTTCTGTTGAAACATTAAATTATCTCTTACATATTTTTAAATTTCTTAACCAAGACAACAAAAATATAAAGATAGAAACAAAAATTTAAATTTATTTTAACAATCACTATAAATGAACTGTTTAAATGCCTCTCCAGTTTATGAGTTGACTTTTCCTTGGCATTTGGACTTGGGTAATGAAAAAAATGGTAGTGATTTAATGTCAAAGCAAGATTTTCTCTAAACAAGATTTCATTACAGATAATAAAAATAATGCTGACATATCTTTTTACAGGAGATATAGCTGAACAAATCTCCTTAGAAGCATTACAAATACAGTTTTTCATCAAATCACAAAAGGAGAATTTAACTGCTGTAAGTTATTACAGATAGAAACCACTAAATAATCAGATTTTTATGTAGCATCTTAAAAAAAATCTAGACGTATTTAATTCCTCCTCAAGCTTCTAATAAATCATTATTATAAAAGTTTAATAATCTAAAAGGAAATTTGATGAGATTGATTAGCCTTGTAACATTTTAAAAATATATCTTTTTAAATTCAAAACTGCTTAGATTTACATATTCAAACACCTAAATGTTAAGCTGTAAATATATAGAAAATATCTGTTAAAATACATACATTTTCTAAACATATTTTGAAATACCTTCCATACAAGAAACTCAAGAAATAATACATAATTACAAGTCAGAGTGAAACTTTCATATTATTTGTTTGCAGTCACTAAAGGACTTCTCTTTCACAAATTTTTTCATGAAAGTATTGTTCCAAAAAACAAATCACAAAGTGACTCTTTATCTTTATTATTCAAGAGAAAGACAATAAAAATAGATTACTATGGTTGCCATGAGCCAAACAAATATTCTCTTGTATTTGGAATTTTCCCACACAGTGATTCTAGCACCATCCTTAAAATATGAAAGCTTATGGCTTTTACTATATTTTTAAAATGTGCATATGGCAGTGTGCAGAACAAATTAAAAGAAATACTTATGAGATTTTTCAAACACAAAGAGATGACTACCATCCCAGACTGAAGATGATACTGAATAAGTTTATTCAGCTTCTTAGTTTGAAAGAAAATTACATATACTTCAAATGCTACCTCAAGGTGATAATAAAAGGTAATATTTATTAAGTGTTTTACTATATGCCAGATACCATGCTATGAACATATATCATCCCAAGTAATCCTCAAACAACCCTAAAAAAGATTCTATTATTCTTTCCTTCTTATCAGTGGAGAAACAGAAATTTAAAGGGTTAAGTCCCTGCCAAAGATTACATAGTTATTGAGATGGAACCAAGATTTGAAGTCCAGGTGTACCAGCACCTGAGCCAACAGGAACCATGTCTAGTCTTACAGGCCACTTACATCTCTAAAACCCAGAACCTGGCAGAAAACTATTCATGAAGTAGGTGTTGAATACAGAATATCAAAACATAGGCTTGCCTCACGTGATACAACTTCACAAAGTAAGTATTCCTGAAATGTTGAGTGAAAAATTGAATTTTGGAAAGTAAATAATATTTTTAATGTCATGTCAGTTAAAGAACATGAGGAGAATCATCCATCTCACAAGAGTAAAGACTATCACAAATTTGTCTTCTGGTAAACTTAGATTTTCACATAGAAGGTTTGCTGAAAAGGTTAACTTTTTATGACTTGTACAATCCAGATAACTGACATCAGAAGAAAGAACATGGCACAGTGAAACACATAGGATTGGGTCCAGTAACTTCCACCAACTTGCTGATAGTAATGCCCATGAGCAAGATCCCTAACTTTTTAAAATTCCAAAATTCTCATAGTAAATGAGGATAATGATGATTATTTGATAGGGTTTCTGTAAGATTTAAATTAAATTCTGAATTATATGTAAAGTGCTTCCTCACCTTTCACAGACTTTAAACAAAAGCACTTAATTATTATCCTATCCAGTGAAAGGTATCATCATGACATAACAATGAATAATAAACAAAAGAAATGCATATTTACATTAATTAGGCTTTCTACTTAGACATGAACAGAATGGAGAACTTTTAACAAATGTGATTAATTCTGTGATGAAATACTATTAAGACACAGGAATACTTCAAACTGCTACAAGCACACACGGTTTTCATTTTATTAGTTTAAAAATAATGTATTAGGTTTCTTGGGACTTTTAAAATTTTTCACAAAATAATCATAGTATCTTATAAGTTGTCTTATCAGCAATTTAAAACCAGTCAGAAGTAATATATGCAGTAATACATCTTTAAAAAAACAACAATCTAATAAATTATGATAAAATATCTTAAACTGCAGTGATATTAGTCAAGTTATAGCACCGGAATCATTAATTATACTTGCTAGTAATGCAAAGATGTAACACAGGCTATCCAAAACAGCATGCAAGATAAAGATTATTTGTATTTAGCTTTGAAATATATAATGACTTCTTCTGTAGCAGATTTATCTTTCTAATCATATTTTCCTTAAGCTAATATTGAAATTATTTGGCTTCTGTCAACAAACACCAAGGGAGTGGTAATAAAGGAACATGTACTAGGCAGAAAGAAATGTTTAAGATGAAATCTAAAATGTGCCTAAAGTGACTTATTAAAAGGTGATTGTATTTCTACTTCACTTGACAAAAATACACAATAGTATTGTTTGAAAGAATACAGAATTTCTATCAAACAAAAATCACTGGTATATATCTTATAAGCTGTTATAAAAGAACTATATTTAATTAAGTTTTTCTAACAATACAAAAGTGTACAGCTTTTAGTATAATATATAAAATACAGAATTGGATATTAAAGAATGAGACAGGTAAAATACACCAATTTATTACATGTCTTAAGAACCTGCTTCCTATCATATAACGGTTAACCTAGCAGCATGACAGGTTTCTCCAAACCCAGGATTCCAGAGTATTCTGTTACATTAAAAAGCAAATTTTAGTAGAATTTTTTTTAAAGATCTAGTTAATTTTAAAGATTTCTTTTTGAAGACGGGCCTAACTTTTCAAAAGTAATTTGTTGAACATTATCACAGCATAAAATTAAACAAGTCTACAGATTGATTCTGAATTGCAACTCATTGATTTTGTCTTGTTATAACACGTGTATTAACTAATTTTCAAAGTTCTTAAGAAATGCTGAATGATACAAATTTTAATCTTGGTAGTTGCTTGAATTTGGTAATCTTCTATTGGTTAATATAGTTTACAAAGAATTAGATCATTTAGCATTTACTTTATGCATCATACCATTTGGTGAATTTTTAAGAAACATTAAAAATAAGTATGAAGTGTCCTAATAAAGCCATTTTGATTTCTGCATATTTTTAAATCTGTGCATAGATATTTTTAAAGTACCTATCGAAAGAAAAAGGAAACACTGTACACAGCTGTGTGTGGAAACATTGACAAAGGTTAGATGATTACTAGAGAGAAACAACCAACAAAAAAGAGTGTAAAAGTCACAGGTAATGTTTTTAGACTGCGTTTTCTTTCTCTTTTAAAAAATTATTTATGTTTTTAATTGAAAAAAGTATATATATTTATTTGGTACAACATGTTTTGAAATATGTATACATTGTGGAATGGCTAATCAAACTAATTAACACACATATTACTTCTCATATTTTTTGTGATTAGAACACTTCAAAGTATATCATACATTGTTATCAGCTATATTCACCACGTTGTACAACAGCTAAAAGTCATAGGTAATTGAGTAATTAAAAAAAAGAAATGCAACCATAGGCATTCACAATATGTATAAGTCTAACTGTTATAATACAGTCAAAGAATAACACATTGAGACTTAGAATATAAAATTCAGCACCTTGAAAACTATAGTAAAATGCCACTTTGGGCTTGGTGGCACAGCCTGTAATCCCAGCACTTTGGGAGGCCAATGCGAGTGCACTGCCTGAGTCCATGGGTTCGAGACCAGCCCAGGTAACTTGGCAAGACCTCATCTCTACAATAAATCAAAAAATTAGCTGGGCATGGTAACACGCACCTGTAGTTCTGGCTAATTGGAAAGCTGAGGCGGAAGGATCACTGAGCCCAGCGGGTTGACATGTGGCTATGA